GTCTATAGGCCTAGAACTCCATTGTGCAATGCCTTTAACAAACAATAGGTCTTTGTCAGCAAGGGTATTGATGCTATTAGTAGAAATTTTGTGAAATGATAAGAATGAGCTGTATCTTATAGAAAGTGACTAAAAAAGTTATGCAAGCAGGCTGATGGACTTAAAACAACCCATTGATACCCGATAGATAAGGAACATGATATTTTGGCTATAATGGATGCTAATAAGGTAGAACTTCTTCCTTCAGTTTCTCAGCTCTACTATACCAACGACATAGCCCTTACGTATCTTATATCACAAGGCTGAGAAATGGATGACTAATATAATGTCTCATATGACAAACAATTACTAGGTGAGACAAACTAGAAACCAGAGAAGAAAGTTGGCTATACTATAATCATCAAAGGACATACTGCTTTATTTTTCATGTGGGAAATTTGAAAGCCAGCATGTTAGCCAGGCATGGCAGTGTATGCCTATGATTTCAGCATTGGGAAGGCTGAGGAAGAAGTTTGAGGCTAGCCTGGGAAATAAGGAGAGACAGCTTCAAAAAAAAAAAATAAAAGTAAAATAAGAATGGAAACATGCTTTGTAAAGACTGAATATTTTCATGCTTTAGACGCTCATAATCATACTCATTACTCCTTCAGAGGATGTGCCATTGGAGAAGTCATGCCTGAAGTCATAGTGAAAGACCCACATTTCCCTTCCCTCCACCCCTACCTCTTAATTACAAGTGCCTGTAAGATCTTCCTTGCACTTCTGTTCATGTCCCTTGCCACTGCCCTGGTTTAGACTTTTTACCTGGACATCTCAACACCTCCCTTATTCATCCACTTTCTCCTCCTTTAATCCCATATCATTCTGCTTCTGTCTTAGAACCTTTTGCCAGAGTAGTCCTCCCTTAACCCAGATAGAACCATACTATTCCACTATATGAAACATCTTCAGCATATCTCATTACCTACACTGGTGCACTGAGTTAGACTCTGACCTGTAGACATTTTTTATTTTCTCAGGTCAATATTCACTTGTAATATGAATCCTGGAAGATTCTATTCAGGACAGAAATAATACATTTGCTATTTTCAACACACTTCCTCATTCTTTGACTGGTTTGTACTGGCTTATGAAATTGTATCTCTCACCTACTATCTGCCCTACTATTACTTTTCTCCAGTATTACATAATTTTCTACTAGTTCCATCTGTCCACTACACTACAGAAAGTTTCTAGTTTAAGAATATGTTGATCTTATGGGCCCTCTCCACCTTTCCACACGATATTCATACTAAGTGAAGTGGTTCTGTTTTTGTTTTGTTTTTCCAGGATCTCATACTATGTATCCCTGGCTGGATATCTGTGTATAAGCTAGGATGGCCTCAATAGCCCAGAGATACGTTCACTTACCAAGTGCTGGGATTGAAGATGCATGCCTCCATCTCCATCTTGAAGTCTTGAAGTGTCTTTATATCAATGCTGACAGACTAAAACCAATGTCACATACTTTACAAAGATCTCCACAGATTAAATGAGCTACTTTTGCCTTTGGGTTCATTAACTCGCCAGTCCATCCACCTGTCCATCTGTTCATCCAGCAATGAACTATGCACTCTTTGGAGTATCAGGTAAAGAACAGAGTATTTATTATTAACATAAAAATACACAAGACATAGACTTTGTTCCAAGTTTCACTCCTCACACACTTATGGGAAGTCACACTATAGTAGTGTGGCATGACTAGAATGAAGGATATGTATGTGTCAAGGAGGAGGTGCAGCTGGAAAAATGGGTAGACTGGAACTTCTCTTCTCTGGAAACACAAGGGAAATCAGTTAGGAATCTGTTGTTGAGATCCTGGCAGCACATATACTGATGAGTTGAATTAAGGCAGCTACAGTGAGGAGGACATGATGGAATGGGCTGCAGGACTTGGTTTGGGGAGGAATGGCTGCCGCAGTCAGTAACTGGTTGTTAGCAGTGAGGGGAAAGGGAGAGTCCCAGTTTTCTGGACTGGAAATGCAAGTGTGGCCAAGAGAAATACAAGCAGGAAGAAGGAGCAAATGGAAGAGTGGTCTGTTGAATTGATGTGCCCCTGGGACATTCACGTGTATTGCAGGGTTGCGCTGTGTGTGGAGCCATCACCAGCTGGATAGTAGATGAAGTCATTTTTGTAAGTATGGGAGATAAAAGGAGGAATCCAACTTATTCTAGGACTTTCTAGAATAGCAATAAAAGTCAAGAGAGACAAAAAGGAAACAAGAACGTAGTGTAATGTCATAGAACCAGATTCCATATGTGACCATTAGAAAGGCTAGTTCTGTCAGCAACCTCCAACATGGCAATACTCCATGATTACTGTCTTCCAATACTGATCTTTTTATTTGTGTCTATCTGATAAGTTATTGTGCACAGGCTGAGAATAAGACACCATTTCCCCTCCAGTACCTCTGCAATTATTTCCCTGCAGCAGGAATCCCTGGGAGCGCTAAAATTCAAGAAGCCAGTGCCATTATTTTAGATAAGTGCCTGTGGGAAGCTTTGCGATGATCTTCAGTCACTCATTCATATGAAGAACATATGTTGCAATAAAATATTTAAAAATGAAAATTTAAACTCCCTGGAAGCCCAGCCCCGTGTGAGCCCTACCAGTGAGCCCCCTGATGTGTCATAGGCTCGTCATTTTGTTTTGTTATGAAACTCTACTTTCCTTGTTTTTAGCCTGTGCTTTCTTCAATGAACATTCAAGGGTGTTGGGCAGCCTGGCTTAGCTGCTGCTGTGTTTTCAGTGTCTGCTGTAGTCCCTAGAACATTGTGTGTATTTTCAGGCTTTGTAGAACACAGGGAAGCTAAAAGTCTGTTCTTTCCTTGCCTCTCTGACAAGCTCTGGTCATTCTTGTATCTGGTTTCTTCTGTTATGAGAACAAAATGATGGTTACCCACAATTTTCCTATTGAAGAAGAAAATGGCAAGGGTGAGTCTCTACACACCTATTAGCACTAGCACGGGAGAGGACTTGAAACCAGAGAGTTGTTCATGAGCTCAAACATTTCATTTGTAAAGGACATAAGTCCTACCTGGAGCTGGATATCCATGGGGACTGCTAAGCCTAAAATACACAGTCAGGAGACTTAGGGAAGAGTTGATGTTACAGCTCATGTGCCAATTCCTCCTGCTTAGGAGAGGTTTGTCCATTGTGTAACACCTACTCATAATTTGGAAGGTAATCCACTATACTCATAGTTCATCTATTTCAGCATTAATCTCATCCTAAACCCACACAGAAACACCTAGATTAATGTTTGAACAAATATTGGAGGAGAAACTATTCCAGAAAAACTAGCAAAATGAACGATCACAATTTCCAATAGTGTGGGACTCAAAGTCATAGATGATATAAGTTTTCATGGGTACTCTTATCTTTACTCCCTCTGATGGCTCCACAGTTATCACCACTGATCCTGGTTCAAGCAGATGACCCCACTTTTAACAGGAACAGTTTTTAAAACTGAGTGGAGATTCCGGTGAGCCTCAGCCGCATTTGTGCTCAGCAGCCCAGGCAACCATTATGAGTAAGTCTTTTAGCTTCAGAATTCCTACTAAGAACCTAAGAAGTGATGGGGGATGCCCTTCTGTATATATGTTTCTCATATTGGTTGATGAATAAAACACAGACTGGCCAAACAGTTTATAAATTAATATAATTCTTTGTGTGTTTATTTGGGGGCTAATCGGCTGCGGGATCAGGTGGAACAGAAACTTTCATCTATTTGTATTTAAGGAAATGGATGTTCCAAAAAGGACGAGGATTTTCCCAGTGTTCCTTGGCCTGCAGCAAAATTCATACCCAAAGCTTAGCTGTGAATGACACCTGCTGTTTTGTCAGCTCAGGAGTTTGTGGGTCAGGAATTCAGGAAGTCTCTGTGCCATGATGACTGAGTTCTAGCTAGGTTGGTTCAAATGCCTAGAGGCTGCTGAGATCACTTGTGTAGTAGCTTGTTGCTGGCTGTCTTTTGGATCCTGTGGGTGTTCTTCAAGTCATGTTTACTGGAACTGGATTTATAAGCTCACTTTTTTTTTGCACCTGAACTTGGTTGGACCTGACCTCTTTGCCATTGCTTGTGCTTCCTGACTGTATGAAGTCCAGGGTAATTGGACTTCTTCATGGAGCTGTCCTCTTCTGGGTTAGAGATGGCAAAGTTCAACAAGACCTCTATGAATTGTCTTCCCAAATCATCATGTCATGATCTATTTGTGAAGCAAATCATTTAAGCCAGCCTACATTTAAAGGAAGAGAGTGGGTTCTGTTTCTACAAAAGAGAGGTGGCAAAAGCTTTCAACCATCTTTAATATGTAGGAGTCAAAACTGGGACATTGGGATCAGCCTTTTGCTTGCCTTCAAAAGCCTTGCCTTTTCTCTCTGTTACTTTATCTCTGCCAGTACCTGTGTGCAGTGGCTACAGGGTTCCTCATTATGAGTAGATACCTGGGTCACAATGTAAGTAGATAGCCAGCTGCAAGAGAGCCTGGCTTGACAGCCTGTGACATGTCAGGGCGGGACAATGACAAGGGCCAGCACCAATCTCCTTCTTGGAGAAAAGGGACACCAATGTTTTCCCTCACACTGCAGGTGGGCTAGGGCTCCAGAGAAGAACACTTTTTCAGCAATGAAGGGGAAATGCCAATGACCAGCGCTGATGAGGGACAGGAACAGGAGAGGGAGGGAGTTCATTACCATAGAGTGGAGGAACAAGGTGGATGGGGGAAGACGTGGGGAGGCCCAGCCTTCCACTGTATCCACCTCCCAGAAGGAAGCCAACCTACTGTAAAGCAGCCCTCCAAACACAGAGAGCAAGAACCCCATTCTCTGGAGCCTTTTCTTTGTCAATCAGACTAGCAGAGGTCAGCAAAGTCTCAGGGGAAGTGAGCAAGCCTACAACAAGGATTGTTTAGGAAGACTCAAATTGGCAACGCTGCCTTTTCTCTCTGGGAGCAGTATTGTGGCAATGAGAAGAATGGAGACCAAATTTTTGGTAATCTGTCTCAAACTCCTCCTCCTCATGTACTCCTTTGTCTTTTGTATCACTGGGGTGATCCTGTTGGTTATTGGAGTCTGGGGAAAACTTAATCTAGGCATCTATTTATCTCTTATTGCCAAGTACTCTGCAGATGTTCCCTTTGTGCTCATTGGAACTGGCACCATGATCATCAGTTTTGGTCTATTTGGATGTGTTGCTGCATGCAGAGGTAGCCTATGCATGTTGAAGCTGTATTCTCTGTTTCTGTCGCTCGTGTTCCTGGCTGAGATTGTTGTTAGCTTTTCAGGGCTTCTGTTTCATCGTGAGATCAAGGCCATCTTCCTGAAGATTTACACCAATGCAGTGCAGAATTATAATGGCAGTGATGAGAAGAGCCAGGCTGTGGACCAGGTGCAGTACAGTCTGAATTGCTGTGGTGTGAAGAACTATACCAGCTGGGAAACCAGCTCCTACTTCCTGGATCATGGCATCCCCCGAAGTTGCTGTAAGGATAAAAGCGATTGTAACTCCCAGGATCTACACAACCTGACTGTAGCTGCCACCAAGGTTAACCAGAGGGGCTGCAGTGATCTTATGATAGGTTTCTTGGAGGCAAACACAAGGACCATCATCGGAGTGCTCTTTGCAGTCACATTCTTGCAGTTGATTGGCACGAGATTGTCCTATTGTCTGTCCCGGTTCATCATGGCCCATCAATATGAGACAGTGTGAAATGCTTTCCAAGGGCTACACAGGAAAGAAGCCTGTTTCAAAGGACTGCTCCATCTTCTTGCAAAGGACTTTCAAGGAACATGAGCACACAGAACCCTTCTGCCGTGCTCCTGCTGCCCTCTTCCTACACCATACAAGTTGCTGATTCTCCCACCTGACCTCTGCTCCCACTCCTGGCCCATAGGAAGTATGATGTTCATCTTGTGAAGCCCTGTTGTGTTACACAATGTACCCACCTGCAGCTAGTCATAGTGAACCCCACCCACCCTGTTGCCCTGTGTGTGCAAGCTCTTCCTCATGTGTTGGGTCCAAATGCACCTTATTGTAGGGGGCTGCTTATTACATCATCACTAGCCTCCTGTGGTCTGTATTCAGCACGGGAGGCTGTCAGCCCTTTATCGTGATCCATAAATGCCACTCACATTTATAGAGATAACCAGACAGCAGTTATCAGCTCTTTGGGTTTAATCTTGTTTGCTCTGGTTTTCATTTCATATTTTTTTTTCTGGGATTTTCCTTACCTTCTTTATGTTGCCTAGGAGATGTGAAGAAACACATTAGTAGTTATGGTGGAAACTGTTGAGGGTACAAGTTCCAGATAGTTCCACACCTGGGTATGTAGAGACAGCTTAGTGCTTGTTGGTTATTCAGTAGAAACCTGTACAACTCATTCCCAGGCTGTGTTGTTTCTTCTCTTGAAGGTAATGACGGCAACTTCGGTTTTCCCCCACCAACTACTTGCCGCTGCTATTTTCTTTTTCATTCTCTGCATTTTTATTTTCCCTTGATTGACATTATAAACTGTGAGGGCCTCTGATCAACTTAAAAATGCATGTGAAGGGGGAACAAATGTCAAAGATTTTGAAAAGATCTTTAAAAACAATGGCCCTGGGGCTTCAGGGTTGACTTGGTAGTATTAGCTGTGTAAACATAAGGATTTCACCTGGAGCTTCAGAACCCCTGTAAAAGCTGGAGGCAATGCTCTTTACTTATCTATTCCAGTGCTGGGGAGGTGGACATGGGCAGCCCTTTCACACTTCCTAGCTGTCCCACTCAGCCTAGTTTGGAAGCCACAGGCCAGAGAGAAAGCCAGGCTCAGCAAATGAGATAAGACAGCATTGAAGGAATAACAGCCTAGCTTGACCTCTGGCCTCCACACCCCCATATGTGTGCACCCCATACATACATATACTCACCTCAGAACAGCCTCATCTGTTTAGCATGTCAACACAGTGCACTGATATAAGCATTTGTGATGTATGCATTAATAAATAAAGCAATTACAAGTAGCCAAAATGATAAGAAACAAACATCAGAGGTACCTTGGGAGCTCCTGTGTAGACTCTGTTCTCTTCCACTTCTCTGCTCATTGGCAATCACTGGAAGTTACAACCACTGCAAGTTATTGGAGATGTGAGAATTAAAGTTTTAGGATATTGATAAAGACTCTCAGTTAATGACCCACTTTGGGCAGTTCTTTGTGACCTGTTAGGTCCTCCAATGGGACACTTAAAGGAATGCTTCTTTTCCAATAGTAGATTTTCATACAGTTAGTTTCTTTGTATTTGGAAAGTAGTCTTTGCTTCCCATATCAAATTTTCTTTGAACATTATAGCCTAGAGAAGGGAGGATGGAGTTAGCTGAGCCTTGCTCTTTGTTTACTGCCTCTAATCAGCCTATCATTCTTATTAAGAGACACACATGAGTCATTGTGCCAAGGTCCAGGCTTGAGTCACAGTCACTCGAGTACTTACAATGCTGCCACATTCTTGTCTAGAGATGGGGTGGAGGTGAATGTGATAATTCTTAGTAATAGTAGCTGACATCGTGAAATCTCAGTGAGATTCTGGGAAGAGATCTTCTTCTAGACAAGCTACAACAAAAGAAGGTTTCATTTTCCTGTCTTTTTTGAGCAACATGTACTCCAGTACTTGAGGTTCTTGAAGCCATGTTATAAACCAAGAGGAGAAAAGAAAACAACAAAAAAGCAGAAAAGCCAAAACCATACTAAACCAAACAAAATACCCCAGGTACTGGGATTTACAAGTCAGAACTGCTACAGCCTGTCTTCTATGCTTTATGTCATTCTCTGGTTTTACGTTTGATTGGGCTCCAGTCACCAGTACCTGAAGCCTGATCTGCATTTCAAATAAAGGTGTGGCTTGGAATCTCCTGAATTTCTCTTGGAGATATCAGATACCCAAACCCTCGGCTCAGAACTCCATTCCTGGCTTATTTGAAACATGAAGGAGAGACAGAGACAGGCAGAGAAAGAGAGACATATAGGAACTGGAATAGAAAGGTGATGCTAGAGAAAATTCAGATTTCTAGTGTTTTCTTTTCAACTCTATGCATAGAACCTAGACTTTTAAATCTGGCACAGCCACTGAGGAACCTACATTAAGCCCAAACCCTCCTTAAAGAGGCATCTACTATGATACCACATTTCCTCTAAATACTGACTATATTTGGACTATGGGGTTCTATGGCTTTAGTGGGGTACAGAAGGTGCAGATTGTGGTAATGCCATATCTTATAATGAAACTCTTGTACTCTCTATTGGAAAAGGAATTTCAGTGTGCATGTTATTGCCAGGTTAGCATGGACACAGTATTAATCTATTTATTCTTAGTGGATTTCCCTTGGAGTGATATCACAAGGGTGACACCAGCAGAAATAAACTTGAATTTGAATTTCGTGATGTACCCAAAGTCAGTCAGCCACAGAATGAGAAAAGGGAGAGGAGAATGAAGACACCAGAATCACAGATACCATGTGTCTCAAAAGCATGGCTGACTACTTGACCAGAGGGGCAAGACAGCTTTGGCCTGATTGATTCTTTGTTCTCATCTCCTCCTCCCCATACAATTTTAATGGGGATATCTATCCTTCTGTGTATATGTTTATTGGCTGATGAATAAAACACTGTTGGGCTAATGAGGCAGGAAGATAGGTGGGGCTAAGAGATGAGAATTCTGGGAAAGGTAGGCAGGCCCTCACCAGAGTCATGATGCTGCTGAAGGAGTAAAAACATTCCAGGTCATTACAGGGTAAGCCACAGCCTCATGGCAACACATAGACTGATAGACATGGGCTAGTAATTAAGACAAAACTAGCCAATAAGAAGCCCAAACCACTGGCCAACAGTTTTATAATTAATATAAATCTCTGTGTGCTTCTTTGGTGTTGAGGTGGCTGCAAGACAAGGCTGGCAGGAAAGAAAATCTGCCTACACAATCTGCTAGCTGGGGAGGGGATGAAAGGCAAGAAATTTAGGGTGTTAATCCACTGTCTCAGAAATCTGAAAGATCCAATTTGTGTCCCTGCTCATAGAAATTTCGAAGTGATAGGTAGCAACTAAACTCCAGCATTGGGTGATAATTTTATGCTGGAGAACCTGGGATTTTAGAGTGCTCAGCTTTAAAAGTACTGTTACATTAATCCTCTCAGTTTCCTAACTATGGTATTATTAGACTTACATTCCCTTAACTGTGAATGTGGATGGCCTTCTTTTATAGTGGGTACCATGTTCAGTACAGGGCCCAGGAAGCTTCTGAAACTGCAGGGTCACCACATTCTTACTAGTTTTTGTTTGTTTGTTTGTTTGGCTCCTGCATTATAAGAATGTGAATGTGGTGTGTGTATGTGTGTGAGTGTGTGTGTGTGTGTGTGTGTGTGTGTTGGGTATTTGGTGATTGGTGCCCCAGTCCTGTGTTCAAAGGGCCAGATACTATTGCAACTTGCCAGCCTAGCCAGGCCCACTGACTTGGATCCTTTCCAATCAGTCATGCTCATTTCCTATCAGGGTTTGTGTAGCCTCCCTCTAAGGGTCCCAGGCACTCTGACTCTTGTGCGTCCACCTGTCAGTCTTCTTGCATCCTAGAGTGATGCTTGTGCTTGCCCAGCATTTGTAGGTCAGCTCCAGCTTGAGAACCTGGGTGAGTTTCTCTGCCACCTGGTCAGTTTCTACAACATTCTGAGTTTGGACTTCAGCCCTTCCTTGGTTCCCTGTTACACATTTACAGTTGCTCACATACCACTGCCTCACAGCTGTTGTGAAAAATCCTTCCCTCCAATGCTGAAGCTATCTACCCTCTCACCATCTTCTGGTCTGCCCTGAAATTTCTGTCTCCTGATTGGAGTGATGGGTCAAGTTTCAGGGCTAAATATAATTGAAAATTTGATATATGTTTCTCTTAGGTTCCTCCTTGTTTCCTGGCTTCTCTGGGGTTGTGGATCATAGGCTGGTGATCCTTTGCTCTATGTTTAATATCCACTTATGAGTGAGTACACACCATGTTTTTCTGGAGCTGGGTTACCTTGCTCAGTATGATTTCTTCCAGTTCCATCTATTTGCCTGAGAATTTCAAGATTTCATTGTTTTTTTTTTCCTCCCCCGCTGAGTAGTACTCCATTATATAAATGTACTACATTTTCTTTATCTATTCTTTGATTGAGGGGCATTTTCCAAATTCTGGCTATTACAAATAATGCTGCTATGAACATAGTTGAACAGATGGCCTTGTGGTATGAATGTGCATCCTTTTGGTATATGACTAAAAGTGGATTTGCTGGATCTTGAGGTAGACTGATTTCTTTTTTTCTGAGAAACTGTCATATCAACACTTGCAGAAGGGAAAGGGACAAAACCTCCTGAGCAAATTGGTGGCATGGTGGGAGGCCAGAGGGAAGTAGGACGAAGAGGAGAGGGGAGGAGAACACGAGGGGTTAGGAAGATTGAGGTGAGAGAAGAATAGATACCTTAATAGAAGAAGTCATTATAGCTTTACAGAGAAATCTGGCACTAGGGAAATATTCAGGGATCCACAAAGATGACCCCAAGTAAGAATCTAAGCAATAGTGAAGAGGCTACCATCTATCTATCTATCTATCTATCTATCTATCTATCTATCTATAGATTGATGACTACCTTAAGTGCCATCCTAGAGCCCTCATGGAAGATGGAAGAAGAAGCAGACACACACAGCTAAACACTGAGC